CTCTATATAATAGCATTTTATATATTTATAGATTTTCTCTTTTGTCGATATAATCTCTCGCATATGTACAGTGTGCGCTTTTCATCAGGGATAGATTTCACGGTGGGTGCGTATGTGACAGTTTTGAGATAAAGCACTGAAGATAGTTCGATTTTCACTTTTGTGCATCTCTTATCACGCGAAAAGACTATGCTATACTCACTTTTAGCTAATTTGCAATTCCACACATTCTTATCAACGCGTTTTCGTTTCGCTCATGTCTCTCGATACTCTGTACATAGTATTATAAAGTATCCGATCTATATGTCGATCAGACTCTCTTCCAACTTTCATGATTCAAAATAGCTTTTGCGCGACGATAACACGTTCTATTTTATGTTAATTTGGAATGTGTTCTTATCGAAAGTAGTAAACGAGCACAAGTCTGAATTTTCTTGTGTATAAAAAATAATTGTAGATTGACATTTAAATGTATATTATGTTTATTTAAATTTTATGTTAATTTAAATTATTTTCTCATATATAATTATTATGTGATTTAATTTTATTGTACAAGTAATAATTTTTGCAATACTAGATTATATATGAACAATAATATTTTAAATTAAATTTTGTTATTTTAATTAAATCATTTTTATTACAATAATTTCAATAAAATATAAATGTAATAATTTTCCAAACTTTGATTCGATTATTCCGATTCTAATTAGATATTTATCGCCACGCAGCTGCTACATTAAAAACAAAAAGCAAAATGTCTTTGGCAAAAGCCTCCTCCAAAAAATTAAAATTATGACATATAATTATACTTATAGCAACCTTCGTCTGTTAATCAGACGTAGGTCCACCTCAAGGTCTTAATCTGATCCCACTGCACAGGATGCTTCAGTCGCATATGATTTCTAACACTGTTGGGATGGGAAAAAGTTTTGGCACAGGAGGCAACGGGACAGGTAGGCGAGTCTCTGGGATAATGATGATCCAGATGCGCCCTCATCGCGCTGATGTCGTGGAACGTTCTGGAACAAAGGGGACATCTGTAACCATGCTGCCGATGATGCTCCCGTAGTAATCTCTGTTGCCTGAAGTCCGGTTGGCCGCGCTGATATTTGCTGGTAGTCGTGATCGTCGTGGTGGCCGTGGTGGAAGATTGATTAATTGATGCGTCGTCTTCCAGTGGCGCCTGATGACGGTGGTGAGGAGGAGGGACGGATAGTGGATGATGATGGCGATGCCGATGATGTTGCTGGTGATGGCTGTGGTGGTGGTGGTAAGCCGCACCCTCTGCCTCATCAAGCCCGTGATCTGCAACCACCACCACACCAACATTACCACCAGCCACCACCACCATAATCCCACCCCGAGCTATATACGATAATGCTACGCGCCCAACCTCGACCCAACAATGTTCAACATCTAGGAATATTTCTCGCAGCGAAATTATACCGCGCTCTTACTTTGATATTAATCAATTGCTAATTGTTATTGGTGCGGGTGAAGACTATCTGTACAATTAGTTTAAAGCGCGTATGTTTTTTTGAACGTAACTAATTATTGTATTATTTTGTTTTCAGAAAAATTAATATAAACTGATCACAATATTGAAATAATTTTTTTTTTTTAATTAAACGTATTATTTTTTTTAATACTTATGATTTATATATGTTTTTTTGATAACTTGCCACTATATGTATTTAAAATAATCTCATATGAAATAGTCTTCAACAGCTCAACATAACAGTTGCATTAAAATCATTAAAATATACATGTTATATCTTTCACACTTTCATTAATAATAAACATTTATAGCAAATGGATATATATCAAATAATTGAGAGCATAGCAGATGTTGACACACAGCTAGGATAATCGGATTATGAGCTCGATTTAAATAAAATTCTACCAAAATAAAAATACGATATACCGCGCGCATGTCAAAATTTCTTATAGGATATATAATAGTATTTTAAATATGGTTGGAAGGAGTCTGTATCGTGCAAGAAAATATGAACAATTAACATTGCCATTTAATCATGTTCTTTAAATGGGAAAATCAAGATACTTTTTTCAGATTGAATATCTTTTATACTAAGAGTATCTGGATTTTCGGCGAATGGTAGCGGAGGTGTTCAAGGTCCTACCAACAAGGCTTGTCGATAAATTCGCAAACAATCGAGTATATGCCAGGTTTTTAATAAATCTCCTATCACGTTATTAATTATAATTATGCGTTCATGTAATTATTTAAAATTATGCATTCGATCAACTTTCGTATACTCATTCGGTCTCGTATCGTATACATTTCATTACACTTAACGCATGCTTTTGAGCGTAACGTCAAAATATCAGACAATCAATCATTTTTTCTCGTGTCATATAAAAATCAGTATTTACGTAGTATTATTTTTGCATTGCATTTGGGTATGCATTTCATATTTGCCGCCCATAAGATTTATGCAAAACATGCAGCTCGGCGATTACGATAATTCATTTGTCGCGGTCGAAAATAATTTAATGCAGAGTTGCTTAAATCCCTTGCGCTGGTTTTATTTTCTTTCATCACGCAATTCCTATTAATATCCCATTTTCCAGAAAATTTTAAAAATATTGTTACGATTGCAATGTTATCAATATCGAATTACATCTAGCCATATGACGTTAATAAACAATATATTATGCTATATTCGTCATGTTACGTTTGATAAATTATAAATTTATATGCGATTTATATATATAAAAGAAATAAAAATAAAAAGATTTCCATTACTTTTAACGAAACATAATTTAAATTTGTTTCATAAGTTAAATTCGTCAAAAACTACCACCGCATTTTCACATCGTGAATGTTACAGCGTGTCTGCGAAAGCGATATCAATCATTAACCCTCGATAATACCCAAACGACTGCGTATTGGAAATGTATTCGGAAATATTTCTTGCTGCTCTGTATTGATCACCATTACCTACAAAGCTTCATGTTCCATCACGAGCAAAGCCTCAAACGGATTAAATAAATTTCGGACAAGCAACCGGCGCAACGGCGGCAGCCGCGGTGGCGACGGGCATCCCCGTCACGACTTTCAAACAGTCATATCGAGCGGGTAGCAACCCCCGCGTTTCCGACCGCGTGATATT